CTTCATTGGACTTCCCAATGCATTGCATGTGCTTTATATGCAGTGTTGTCTTTCACAACATGAGTGCTAAAGCGTTTCCTAATTTGCATGTAAAAATGAATTCTGGTTGTTACTGGATATACTTTTCTTGGCCAAACATGTGCACTCTCAGGCTTGTTTTCAAAACAGAACAGCTATTTTGTCAATGTAACTATCGGAAAGCTGTCTGGAATAATTGCACTATAGTAACTTCAGCATCTTCATACATGGCATGAAGCTCTTCAAAGATTTTTTTTTTTTTTTTTTTTTTTTTCCCCCCATGCCTTCCTGTTGAACTTCAGTATAGGGTTTGCATTTCCTTTTTACACAAGCTGACTTGGCTTGTAGAAATAAATGCCAAGCTTGGTAATCCCCTCCAGTGACTGCCAAGATGCTTCTGGCAGGCTGCGTGCCGGGGGAGCCCAGCCCTGCCAGGCAGCCCGTACCCTCTGCGGTGTCCCAGTACCCTGCAAGTGTGGAGGACTGTGACCGCCTGCTGTGTTCTTGGTTTCATATATGTTTGCATTTTGAGGATGCTGTCACTGTTTGTTGGAAAACATTGCTGAGAGTGCATTTGTTCCCTCGTGTGTGTGGGATAGTCAGGCTTAAGAAACTGGATAGCTCAAGTCTGTATGTAAGACCATATGGCAGAACTCCTTAGGGTGGGCACCTGGGTGGAGGGCAAGGCCGGGATTTGTGCCAAAATGGATGGTGGAGCAGGACCAGTGTTGCTGCAACTAGAATTCATTGTGGGGTTTTTGTGAAGACTGAGAATTTTGCGGCTTGCTCGCTGGGGAGTACGGGGCCACAGTGGTAACTTGGGGTCTGAGTAATTGTAGGCAGCTTTCCGCTGCTACGCTTAGGTCTTCATTGCACAGCTGGAGTCCTGGAGCCGGCACAGCGATGCTGCTGAGGGCTCTGGGCCAGGCACTCGCACTCGGTGCGACATTTGCCTGTGCCTCCGCCTGTGGCAAGGGCCCTGGTGCTGCACTGAACCTCTGCACTGGCAGGGTTCTTGGTGGCACCAAACCTGCTCCTCACAGCAGGGACACTGTGAGCAGCTGCAGCTGAAATAGATGTAGCTGAGCACATCCTGAAATGGAAACAGCACTTGGATAAACTTACTCCCCTGGGATCTGTGTTGTACTTGTGCATTTACACTCTTGTGAGTTCATGAAAGTCGCTTTGGATTTGCGTTACTAAACAAATGGGACAGGTGTTCTAAGGGGTTGCTGTACCTAAATGTAGCAAACAAGGAATAGATTTTTTCAAAGTGAATGAAGTTAAAGGGTTAAAAATAAATTAGCAGAAGTATTTGGTGGTCAGAAGCATTCCCTTCCCTCACTTCCACAGGAAGAAACAAAAATATCCCATGCTGCGATTAGTGGAACTTTGCCAGTAAAACTGGTGCGAGTTGTCATTTACATCTAAATAAAGTGACAGGAGCCTACAGGAATTACATTAATATTTTTACAACGTTTTACTAGGTAGAAGAGAACGGTGCTGCTTTCCTCTTTGGCTAATAATACCCTCTATAACATGCAAAGGTAACTATCATTTAATGCGCTTTGCATTGTCTCTCCATGCACACTATAGGTTGAATAAAAGCATGTTTCTCTGCTTTTTGGTCAGACACAGATTACTTTAAAAAAAACCCTACAAAACAAACCCAAACAAAAAACACACCACCCACAAAAAAAAACCCCAACAAAGAGTAAATAGTCTACAAAGAAACTCTTAATTCTAAATGGGCTCTAAATGCTGTAATTATACTTCTGCTGCACTTAAAAATTATTTAAGTACCACATGCACCTAAAATTCTGTGGTGCAGCAGAGACATGGAAATAAAACCTTTTAAACCTCTTCGTCTGTAATTTTAAAAAATTGACCATCGGAAAGTTTGTGAAAAAGAAAACTTTTTCAATGTGAATAATACCTTTATAAAAATAGCTTCCTGCTCTGTGACTGTTTGCAAACCTGACTCAGGCAGCCTACGCTAGATTGCTTCATTGGCTGTGTGAGTGTAATACAGGTTCTCTTGCAGTTTCATGTCAATATAAACTGCATTATTTGTCTGCTCAGCTTTCTCCATTTTATATAGCTCAGGTTGAAATCCCTTACGATTTGGCACATCATTCTCTTTCCTTCTGTTCCACAAAACTCAAGTAACATACCAGGCTTTATAGTGAATCTTGAAATACATGAGCAATGTGTAGGTGGAATTACTGTGGGCTCCATTAAAAGAGAGTAACAATATCCCATAAAGAACGGTAGATTATTTTTTTGCTTGCAAACTCTACTTGTATGTTGATTTAATACTTTCTTTGACTTAGTGACTATGGGAGGAATCTGGTGCAGCCCACATTTTGTCATTTATATTATGTTGTTAAGTACAGATTTTTGAAATCCTTGCTGTTAGCATTCCTCAGGAAGGGATAGGTGTGAAATATGTCTACCCCAGATGAAATTCCACGGTTATAGTCAGTGCTTGACTGGTCACCTAGGAAACTCTCAATAATGGATTCACTTGGCTTGGTGATGCAGTCTGGTATGATCACATTTTTCCAGTTCCTTCTAATTTGAAGATGCAGTGCTTGAACAAAAAATTAATCGTAACTTAATCTGTTCCATAGAGAAAAATCCTATCCTCTGTCTTCAGTTCTGTTTTAGTCATAGTCTAAGATACCATGTTCTTTATTCATTCTGTGGTGACTCCTGTAGAATTACTTTAGATTGCGTGGCCTTTAGAATGAACGATTTTGAAGGTATTGAACCATTATTGCGGTATTCATGTGTGAGTCAATGTGTCTGTGAACGCATTGCACTGGAATCCTCTGTGGAGGTCCTCCTGCCCTTCTGAGATGTAATTATGGGATTTTCTTCTGATTCTTGCCTACAAAAAATGGCTAGCATTTGAGTGAGAAAAAGATGAAGCAATTAATCTTCTAAAACTGTCTTCCCAAAATTTTTGGGTGTTCAAGTTATGTTGATTGAAACTTTTCAAGTATTTTCAGTTTCTTCTTTGGTGTGTATTGTATTGCAGGAGTGTCAGTCTGCTTTCGGTAGAGCCAGCGTTTAAGATCTTCACTAGGACCGTTGAGCAAAAGGAGCCCCCCACCCCCCCCAACCTGTGGCAGGATGTGAGAGAAATCTGCAAAATTGTGCGTGGTGGGGAGGGCAGGTAGAGATGTCTGTGGCTGAAGACCTTGGGCTGTGTCAGATAAAAACTGTACTTTGGAGCAGGTACTGGGCATGTGGTGCTGTCACTGCTTAAAGGTTACATCAGTTCAAGGAATGACTAGGTAAGAGTAAGGTCACAAAGTGGACTGAGCATTTTGGAATATAGGGAAACCCCACCCAGGTCAGGAAAACCCATGAACTGACACTGGTAGAAAAAGCAGAGAAATCATCATATATGCTTGTCTTGCCCTTGCTCTTCCTCATGTATGCTGTTATAGCTGCTGTCAAGGATGCACTAGCCAGATCACTGTCTGACTTGGTAAGGGTGTTCTTGGAAGTGACCTGTTGACTAGTGCTGAACCTAAGCCTTATTTCAGTGGAAAAAGTATCAGTGGCTCCTGAGATTTGTCTCCACAGTTTTCCTGCTGTGGCTATTTTAGACAGGCTTGAATTTCATTAGAACATCTGTTTTTTTTATGTTGCTCTGCAAACTATGTCTGTGCTCCTACAGGTATTTTTGCTTGACTGAGCAGAGGTATGCTTGAAGTACCCTGGTACTTGGCTGCAGAGCATCGCATGAGTAACTAGCAAGGTGCATTTCTCCTACAAAGTGGGAAGCAGATCATCATCTTGTGTGTTAATTTTGCTGGTGTTGAATAAGACAAAATGGCAAGCAGTGATTGATTTGAATACACTCAGGATGACATCTCGGGTGTCTGAGGACTGCGAAGTCTGTGGGTGGTGGACAAGGCTGAAGGGTTTTTCACAGCAGCCACTTCTAGCACATGTTACTGTGCTGGTAAAGATAAACCCAGAGGATCGTTTTTGGGAAAGTGAAGCAACAAGAGGCACTGTGTCTGGAATGCTCATTAGAGGCTATTAATTTTATTTTCTTGTAAGGATTGATCTCATGGGCTCTGTTTAGAGGGCAGCTGTTGCTTGAACTCAGAACAAATTGGGGAACTGCAACGTGCTCTAGGATTCAGGCTGGTCTGATTAAATACGTGATGTTGGATAGGGGTACTGTCTTTCTCACAGCTCTGACTTAGTACCTCGATTATGCAGCGTATTGCATGGGGTGCTGAATGTTGTCCAGTAGTTTAATGGGGAAGCTGTTTAGTGGGAATTCATGCCCTCATTTGAACTATGTCAAAAGCCCTGTGATATGAAAAGGAAATTGATTGCACAGTCATTTGCCTGCATGCAGTAAGAAGGCAAAATTAGCACTGGTATAATTTACAGAGACTCTGAATAAAAAAACCCAACCTTACTCTTTTGCATCTGCTCAAGGATTTGAAAGCACTAAATGCTGCCTGTTGGGGGACTGGTTTCCATGGTTGGTTTTTTTCACCCTGTTTTCATGAAGAATACGAGCCACTTGCTTTCAAGGGAGTTACTGAGGTTGGGTGATGTTCTCTAGTACCATGCAGTCCTGTGATAAGAGGTCACAGGATTAGCTCCGACTGAAAAGTAGTAAGATGCTTTTGTTTTGAAGTTTTCTTCCTGCCAGTAGTCATACTAGCTTTGTTTTCATGTGTTGAGCTAGTTGTTTACAGAGTAGATGGATTTCTTTACTTCCTCTTCCTGAGGATAATTTTAAATACAGCACTCTTGTCCGTAGCACTTCTTGACTGATAATGTCTCACACCTGCAATATGATAATGTATTTGCCTCCTGTCTTTGAATGAGATGCAGGCAAATCATAAAGCCCCCTGATCCAGTGCTGTTCAGTGCATTTCTTTTGTTATAAACTGTGGCCTGAAAACATGTATTAATACATGTTCCTTCTTTTTCTCCCTCAGATAAACTACTAGTTTTTACTGTAGCAACTAAAGAAACCGATGGCTTTCACCGTTTCATGCGAACTGCAAAGCACTTCAACTACACAGTAAAGGTACTGTATGTTTTCATACCAAATATTCACACTATGCAGCCTTTAACACAGAAACAGTGCGATAGTAACTGAGGTTGCATTAGCTTGCTTGCATGCTGGGGCAAAGTAAAACAATTACAGAGCTTGGGGGTGGGCAGGGCACTTGCACGTGGCCCTGCTGACGCCCTGTTGCTTATCTCCTGGTCCCCCTCTGAACGGCCATGGGAGAGTACTTCTTCCACTGCCTTAGGAACTGTTTTACAGATCAGTAGCTATTGTGATCAGCGTCCTCAGTCACTTACAGGTTCCGTCATGATTTGTCATATAGCCTTGCTTTGCAGTGAGGCCAATTTTGGTTTTGTGAATACTTCTGGAAGCTGCACTGCACTTGGAGAGCTTTGGATGTCTCCCTCCTCCTCAAACAAGGCTGGATCCCTGCTGCGGGGAAGGAGGGAGAGTCACAGCTGAAATCCCAAGAACCTGTAATTCTTTGAGAGGACAAAACATTTCTGTCATTCTTGCCAGCCTTTTCTGCCTTATTCCACATCTCCCTATGTCATGTACTGAGACTGGCCTCCGCATGACCTTGGGGAAAAAGGGAAGGCACTAACCTTCTTCTCAACTACCCCCCCCAGATCGGTTCTGCAAGAGAAGATCCAGGTGTCATGAAATTTTTCTGCTTACTTAGCACAGTGTCTACACTATAAGTAGGAAATTATTTGGGTCTCTGGAGTTTGACTTCTGCCACTGAACTTGGAAGACCAAGAGAACTTTTCCTAATATGATAATCCTGTACTGAAGCACCCAACAAGCCTGTGCTCTGGATACATCTATTAGCTTTGCAGTTTTTTCCAAAACATCATGCAATGTAGTTCTTCCAGGTTTTTTAAGTTCCAAAAATATTATGCTCAAAACCCACAAAAAGTTTTAAGGGCTTTTTTTCTGTTTTTGAGATGTAGTTCGCTTTAGTGCTTGGCTAGGGAGGAATTTTGTTTAGCTGCTTTTAGCAGCCAGCTTTTTATTGGGGAACCTATCCTTGTACCGACATCTTCTAGGGGGATTTCGGAAAGACTGGAGCTTTCAATTTGTGTTAGTAATACCCGGATCCACCAAGGTCTCTTGTACTTCCTGTTCCTAAAGTGATTATATTGACTTTCAAAGGTCTCATTCAGAATGTTTTTCTAATACAAATTTTGAAACAATTATTAGCTTCCCCCT